GCCTTAGCCACTTGAGCTACAGGTGCCCAGCCTGAGATTTCATTTCTAAAGATGATGTCCAATATTCAGCATATGGCATGCAAGTAAGTTAAAGAACCATGACAGTCCCCATGTTGGTAAATGTTACTCCTACTTAGAGCCCATCAGGTTCTTAAGCACTTCTCTCCAGTCTATCCTCTTCTCCAGTTGCCTTGCTGTGCTCTTGTTAAACTTTCTTCTTACCACCTCACTAACATGACATCCACCCAATGGCCCCTCTATTTTTGGTCTCCTGCAATCCTTTCTGCACACTGCTGCCTTCATGAACTTCCTGGAAGGCTATGTAACTTTTGAGAAAAGTCCAAGCTTTGCTACAGTTACAGTTCATCACATAAACCATGCTTCTGTGCCTCTAGCTACCTTTCTTTTTGCTGGTCTCCTCTCCTGTACCCATTCTAAAACTCAAAGCTTGGTGCCCTTGCCTCTCGGGTTAGGTCCCTCCCCTTTTCTGTTCCTCAAAGCACTTCTATGATCATAAGTTTTCAGATAACTTACCAACAATTATAGTAATTGATTACTTGTTTATTCACACTAAATGACTTTTGTCATGCATAGCAATTGCTCAGTGAATTTTTTTTTAGTTCATTCATGAATTTATTCACATAATAGTTTCTGAGAGCCCATTGCATGCCATACAATGTTCTAGATGCTGAGGATATAACAGTGAACAAAATAAAACAAAAATGCATGCTATGTGGACTTCCTATTCTAGTGCATGGAAAAAGACAGTAAACAAAAAAATAAAATATGAAGTTGTATCAGGTGCTAAGTGTTAAAACAAAGAGAGGGATATGGATAGGGAGAAGTAGATACAATAGTACTTTAAACTGGAGGTTTGGTGAAGGTCTCAGTGATTAAGAGGTTAAGTAGAGCCATGCACATATAAGGGAAAAGAATGTTCCAGATATGGGTGGTGCCTGTGGCTCAAGGAGTAGGGCACTGGCCCCATATTACAGGCGGTGGCAGTTTCAAGTCTGGCCCAGGCCAAAAAATTTTTAAAAAAAGAAAAAAAAGATAAAAAGAATGTTCCAGATAAGGAACAACAAGTTCAAAGGCCAAGAATTGGGCACATGTTAAGTGTGTTCAAAGAATACCAAGAAAGCCATAGGTGAATGGTGGGAGATGGAGACACAGACAAGGAAGAGAGATTGTATTTGTATGGCCTTTTAGGTGCTTATAAGCACAAGGTTTAAGTATGATAAAAACTACAGAAATGGATAATGAATATATAAAGCAAGTTGTTTTTTTTTTTTATCCTTTAGACAAAAGTGGCTCAAGATAGGAATGGCAAAACTTTTCTCTCTTGTTCACCTGAGTTACTCTACCATTACGGTCTTATCTTAATAGCTTCTAGATTACCCCTGAGTGCCA